TCCTTAGTTGTATACAGGAACAACTAAGGACAAGGCATTGCACCTCTTCCAAATTCATCATCCTTTATAGTACTGTAATGTAATACATGTCTACATGATTCCAAAATCCAAATTTCTCCTTTATTTCATGAACAGCTACACCATGGAAGATTGTGTGTCCCAATTCAAAACCAATAATTTTTCATCAGCTAGGTAGGTAGATTACAGAATTGGTTGTTAACAGTTCCATTTAATCAAGTTTTTTCCTTCAACGTTTTTCTCTGCTCATTTTCTCTTTTCTCTGCCATTCTCTTTGTAATTTCACTGTGTTATGAAATCCTTTCACTGCTATGTGGAAAGTTTATTCTGAGCTGAAGATATTATCAACTCCTGATGATATGCTTTGAGCAATTCTTCATTCAGAGGTTTGCACCAGGGATCTTCGGAATGTTTGCCTGAGATGAAATAATTTTATCATCATGACTTGGTCAGTAGACTCATGTAGAACAAGTAATTCCTCTAATTTGATCTGTCTTAGGATGACTTTTGGAATGTTGTAGATCTTTGTGTCTTTAAAAGCCAAACACTTCTGATAATGAATGGCAATGAATGAATGACACAATGTAAGGGTAAGTTTCAGTACCCGAATTAAGAATTTTTCCATGTTTTAGCAAAGTTGGCTGTTGAGGGTGGAGCTGTGTTGCCCTTCTTTAGTTCTAGTTTTTCTCTTCTACCTTGATAAGTAGCAGGAAAGGCTTTGATAAAACAGGCATGTTTCTGCGGTAGACATAATTATCTTCTTGGTGTGCAGAGATTTCTCAAATTATGATAGGTTTTGATTTCTGATATTACTTGCAGGCCAGAAGCACTGTTTATCCCTGTCAGGATGTCACCTCTTACCCTAGGGAATGCAATTAAGTTTCTGAAGGGTGTAGGAATGAAGTTACTGCTTACTTAAGGAACTGAAGCTACATAGGACTTGAACCTTGTATCTTCTACTTTCTGAGGCCCCTGGAAACTGCTGAGAGAATGCTTTCATCAGTTGTCAAAAATGTGAGGGTTGTTGGCTGACATCAGTTCAGCACAAAAGTTTTTAAAGATTACGGCTAATCAGCGATTGGTCTTTCATCCCAGCAGAGCACTTTTCTGAGCATACCTGAAATTCCTACCTGAAACAGTCACAGAATTTCATTTGAATTAGCAAGTACATCTGCCAGGAAAGAAAGTGCTTTTGTGACCCTCAGGGATTAGGCATGCCGAATCTTTTTAATTAGGAATTAATTTCATTTTAACTAATGTAATTTTATTAATTTTTAATTGGGAACTAGGCCTAATGTCTAGTTTTGTTTGAGCTCTCTGAAGCAATTTAGGTGTGTGCTTATATTATTAATCTCAGAAAGCAAAACAATGAAACATAATCACAATCGCTGCTTGACTACAATATCATTATGTTAGACTGTGTTGCAGGGTGGGCAAGGTAGATCCTCGTTGCCATCAGAGCTCATTCTGGCACAGCTTGGACGGTCTTGCAGCATAGGTGAATACTTTTCTCTGAGGCAGTGATTGCGTGACAGTGATCTTCAATGTTCACAAAACATGATACGTTGAGTAGAACTGCCATCTGTCCCCATTCCAAAGACTTCATAAATTTTTTTTCCGGGTTGCAAGCTACTGCACACGTACACACCGGTGTGTGTGCACCAGCATCCACCGTATGGGATAGCTGCGTTTGGTATCATTTCAAAGATGGCAACCCATGTCTGGGCTGAGGCTTCCGAATTCAACATCTTACAAGCCACTGCTTCCTTTAGTAATAATATTAAGTTCCTGTCTTGGAATATTCTTTTGCCTTTGGTTTGTTATGAGGGAGATGACTGTATAGGCATCCCTTGAATGAAAGTTACTTCTCTGCTCAGTTGGTCAAGTTTTCTTTAGAACGCATTTCTCGTGTTCCCAGATCTGCCTGAATCCGCTTAAGCCTTGCGCTTGTAGGAAGTTGTAATGCAGAAATAAAATATTTAATTACCGAAAATCCCAAGTAAAACAAAATATTAATTTATTCTACCTGGGGCAAATTTCCACTAACCCTCTTTACGGGATATTTTAGCTATAGTTAGTTGGCATGTCTCCACATAAATCAGGAAATACCTGGGGCTTTGTATTTTTGGCGTGTTGGTTTTTAGCTATTATTGTTCTGTGACTTTCTCTGATTTTTAGATCTTTATCATTTTCCGAAGTCATGTTGACCACACCATATGAAGTAAAATAAAATCTGTATCTGTTGATCCATTATATGCATAATTAGTGTGTATGTATGTGTGTGGTTTGTGTATATGTACTTAACATGGTATGTAATGTGTTAGATGATTTGTGTCAGTAGAATTTGAATTTGGAAAAGGATAGCTTTCCTGTAGTCTCTTAGCCACCGCTTAAGGAGTTAATTGTCATAAATATACTGGAAAAGTAGTAAATTTTCTTATTTTGAGTACTATGAATTATTATTAATCTAGTATTCAGTGTATAATAGCCTCAAAACATTATTGCATTGATAAAACAGTGGTCAGCATTTTAGAACAGAATCTGATTTTGACTTTGTGTCAACACAACAACCTCATATAGATTTTCGCATAGTTCCATAACTTTATTAAATATTCTTTATTTATCTTCTTTGTAACACTACCAATTAGTAACCATAAAGCTTACATCCCAAGTAGGTGTGTTAAATCTTACTGCATATTACTTTACAGATAGCTTTTTGGATTCTTGTGATGAGATGCTTATGTTAATACTTGCCTGCAGTGTCTCCTTTCCCATCAGATTCATCTTCTCGTACAGCTGTGGGGCTCTTGTCATCTGCTGTTTCCCAAGCCACAATTTCCTCATCGTTTTGTGGCTAAAACCCAAATCTTGATGATCCTTTTCCATCTAGTTCAATGTTGATCTTTCATCTTCGGCATTCTTTTAACCAGAAATCTTTTGCCAAAAACCTGACAAGATTGTACTGGGCGTCATCAGCAGCAACATGAGGCTTGATTTCAGTGAGCAAAGATGAAACAGCTGTTTCATTGTCCAGATCAGTACTCAAGCACTCAATATTTGGTCATAATTTTTTCCAGCTTTGTCTGGCTGTGATAGCCTTCATGTTTTTCACTAGTGGTGACTAGTGGTGTAACTTATTATTGTATTTTGCTGATCCATTTCTTCAGTGGTTCAGAAATAGATACTGCTTCTTCAGATAGTATTTCCATCCTATTGTCATTTGTACTGTCTTGTATTGTCTGTGTCCGTTCTTCAGAAGCTTTTGCTTCGCTTTGGCAAGTCAATGTTTTTGCGGTGTTACATCCAGAATTGCTACATTGTGGCTCAACAGTTGCCGTCTTGGGAAAGGCTGCAGATAGCCATTGCCTTGTGAAAGGTTCTGTCAGACAAACTGCTAAATTTTGTAACTGAGTGATGTAAAGTTTCAGACAGAAGTTTATAAAACTTCACGCTCTCTCTCTGTATGCATATGGGAAGTATTTCTGTGGTGTAAATCTTGTATTTTCAAGGCTGATGGGTAGTTTTGTTCTTGTTATGGCTAGAGGACACTGAAGTGGCATATTACTGTATTCCAGAGTGACTTTTAGTGCTTTTGGAGACAAAGCTGTATGTTCAGAGGGAGGAGAAGAGTTCTGTTTGTCATTGACATTAGTATTTTCCTATTAACTTTGCATACCACTGTATATATGAGTTGACTGTTTTCACTGGAGTAGGATTAAATGGTTGATTGTCTGTCTTATTTTAATTTACTTTTATAGTGGAAAATGGTGAAGGCGTTTGGAAGTCATTCTGCTTCAATTAAATGATCTTTCTGTTTGTTTTGGGGTTTTGTATGTGTGCACGTGTTGCAGAGTACTTGATTCAGTGATCTGTTTTCTATTGGAGAAAATTTACAAGCACATTGCCCGCCTCACACGCATTTGTTTCCCACAGAGATTGCTAATGCAACGTGTGAGGTTTCTCATTACCCAGCTATATGGATTACATTTTCACTCCAATACCAACAAAATTAAATTACACAAAAATTAAGATGCCTGTAATCCTGATGTCTGATCTTTAGAAAAAACTTTCATCATCTTTAAATGATAACCCACTGCAAAATCAACGGTAGAAATATTCTGCTTTTGTCAACTGGGATAGATCTACAATTTACATAGCAGCTAATGCTACAGCAAAATGTTAACAGCCAACTCTGCAGCAAAATTGAGGATCCAATTTTTGTCTAATGATTTTGTCTTTTCTAGCTTGTGTTGTTAAAAAAAATAACATTAAAGCAAAGAGACTGTATTCATTTGTGGACCTCCAATTCCGGAGCCCCTGTGACTTAATGCACATCACACTTTTCTAATCTTGAAAGAACGATGCAGTCCTTCGAACTAGATTTTAATGCCTTCAGTTTTGTTTAACAGTGTCATATTTTGAGCAGTTTATCATTTGTTGATGTGCTTGAAAGACAAAAAAATTCAAAATCAGTAGTGGTCAGAATTAAATTTGTGAGAAACAAATATAATAATGCATAAATAACAATGCATCTTTTCTTTTGAAGTTTAATGCAGGTTGATAAATTTCTTTGCAAAACTTTTTGGGACCTTTGTATCTGGCTAAAATTTTTCAGTTTCCGTTAAACATTTAGATAATTGTTTTGCTTTGGTGATTGTCCAGGTCTTTTCATGTGCATTTTGATTGGCTAATAAACATGATGTTTTAAGTTAATAGATTATATTTCACTTTTGTTATCGTAGAGCTTTTTTCAGAATTGTAAGAGCTTTTTTTCAGACTGATGGGACTAAAATAATTACAAGTGCAAGTCTGAATGTGGCGCTTCATAACTTGTCAAAATACATGTGATCCAATCATTGTTTCGAGTTGTCTTCTGTAGATTTGAAAATAAATAGTTTAAGACGTGCTTCTCATGACAATGTCATAATTCAGTATTAATGTGTTTTGCTTTTGAGTGGCTCACAAGGCACTTCTTTTTCTAGCAGTCTGTAGGAACTGTTCCACTTGGTGTGTCAGTAACTCGAAAAAAAGAGGATGAAGCATCGGTTGGAAGTGCACCTTTGGCAAGGCAGCAATCAAATCAAGCCTCTGAGTATGCCAGCAGTCCTGTCAAAACAAAAACAGTAACAGGTATGATCACTTAATTGAAACTAGCTTTGCTGCCTTTGTAGCCTCCTTCACTAACAGGCATCCACAATCGAACAGCATCAGCTGTGCAAATAATGTGGCACAACTTTCAGTTTTAAAGAAATATTCTTCCAGAAAATTACAACTTTTTAAATTAAAAATTATTAAGCTTGTAATTTTGACACATATGTTGTATTTTCTTCTCATTTTCCTTTAGGTACTATCTTTGGGGCCCCAATAGTGTCATGTAACATTTTCTAAAATGAGATAAAGGAGATGTGCTTTCAATAGAATATCTACTATTTGCCTCGATATTTAATATTTTAGTCCATAATTTTAACAGGCTTTATACACTGTGATTATTCTCTTTGATTTCAGTCAGTCTGTTCACATTGCTTAAAGTCTGGCGTGTATAGAAGTCAAGATTTGTGCATAAACATTTAAAATTCACTCTATTCAAAATCACCATCCCGCAGAAAATGCATTTGTTCGCACTTCTGTTTCTGGAGTTCAAGAAATTACTACATTTAGAAATATTTTCTGAACATGTAAGAATGCTAAAGTTACACTTTTTTATCACTAATCAAGATGAAACAGCTTTCTGGGGTTTTCTAGGCTATTTATTCCTATAGAACTGTCTGCAAGTAGTAAAGTAAGAGATCATCCCAAAGAAGTGACTATCCAGCTGAAGCTTTTAGTAATCCTTTTGAAATTCTCTTTTTCCTTTGCAATGATGTTTATTTCCAGATAATCATGAAGTACTTCAAGGTGTTGTCTGCTGAAACTGAGATTACAATGTTGTCCATTGGTGGTAGGGTTATTTTGAGATTAAAAAGGACTAAAACCAGAATATCTGTTTGCTGAATATTATGTGGGTTGCCATGTTATCAAGAGTAGTAAAAGAACAGGTTAATTTCAAAGACTTCTATTTCATTTATGAATATACTTTATTTTACTATTTACCCTTTTATTTTTACCATTCATTTATTAATTTCCTTTATTTTTGACAGTAATGAAATGACTGTACTAAGTATGTTCTTCTTTTAGCTATGTTTATCATCTGTTCTGCTTTATCAACATCATAAATGATGTGATTTGTTTCCTCTTGAGGTTAATTCTACCTGTGCCTGCCAGCAAAGCACAAAGGTTTAATTCACTGGAGAAACTTCTCTAATTATGAATATTTGACATTCAAAACAAGCTATTTGCGTGAGCAGATGCTAGATTAGTTTGTGTTAATTACCAGTTTATAAAAGTATGCATGTGGTTTGCAAAAGTAGTTTAGTACTTGAGTTCTGAAAATCAGTGTCCCAGTGTGCTACCTGTTTAGCTTGGCAGCCAGTTTTAATCTCCAGCCTTTGTTATTCTTTGCCTTGAGTGTTATCTTTTCTGCAGTAACGATCACACCAGCATAGTCTGATAAAAGCAAATGTTATTTTCAAAATCTCACAATGCCATGAATGTCAGTTTTGCTTTTGTTGTGGGTTTTGTGTGTGTGAATGCAGAAATGATAAAACAAGGTGATAAATTATAGATGACTTCCTAAAAGCAAAAGAAGGATTTCTGTGCATCTCAACTTCTTCCACTTTTTAATATGAAGTCGATATCAAGATGTGTTTTCAATTACTTAGTACAACACATATTGCTGCAAAAATGAAAAGTTCATTTTTAGCTTTCATTTATGTTAACTACCACTTACTTTACTCATTCAGTTTTTCAAATAGCTTTAGCCTAAATGCTGGAGGTTTTTGTGATAAAGGAAATACTTGGCTTCTCTGGAAAATGATTTCATAGCATAGAGTTTGACAATAATAAATGAAAGATGCTAATTCTCTCAAGAGATAACATTGACAAACCATTTTCTTTTTTTAATTAGAAGCAGTCTTTTAAATTAGAGATTACTCAATTTGGTTTCATTAATTCTCAACTGGTCAAAAATTGTTGAACAAAGTTACAGTTTTTTAAGTGAAGCTCCATATGTATAGCAGAGGGTCTATTTTGTTTGTTTTTAAGATGTAGTGTGCCTGACACTGCTGGTTTGAAGGCTAGCCTGTGTTTTAATATGTCTTGTTTATTTGTTATACTCTGGAGATAAAATGCCAGGTAATATAACAATATACCTGAAGTGTTTGAGATTTACTTGCAAAAATGGGAAATAAAAGTATAAAATGAATGCCAAAGAGCAAAAGTCGTGTATACCAATGGAATTATTTAAAGGGATGCTGTCTGTTTCAGTAGACCACACAGATTTCCCTTAATTAAAGAAAGGAGAGCCATGTCATGCTGCAGTGCCACGCAGACTTGTTCTCTGTGTAGCCTTCTAAAACTTCATGCGGTGTTAGAAGCTTTTCCTGAAGAGTTCATCTTATTCCCTGTTTGTCAAAATTGGCTTTGCTCTGGAAGATTCAGGGGACAGTAAAAACTAACACATATGTCGTAGTACAAAAAAATATCTCTGATTTGCAAAGCCACCAGTTACAGTGCTTGGAAAAGGTTGGATGGATACAAGTGTGAAAGGTGAGATCTCATTCTCAGAGAAGCTTCGGTGGATCCTTTCACAGTTCTTTTCTTTACGTGCATATATATAAAGTGCTGGAATGTGGCGGATGAGTGACTAGTTTATTAAACTAAAAACAGATTGCCTGAGATTCTTCTCCTTTCTAATTTTCCTGGGTCCCTCGCTCCCACAATTTTTCTTTTAATTTCACATACTTTCTGTCTGGAGTTTTCTTTCATTATTTGTCTAACCTTTTTAAATAGGAATACCATGCTGATTATAGGTCTAGGACCTATAATGCTACCTATGCTACAAAAGCATTCTAGGTGAAAGGGGCAGTGAGCCTTTTAAGCCTCGTATTTCTTAATCATCAAGGCTCTAGGTACAGGTGCCTTAAGTTGTCAGAAAACTGAGATTCCTATGTTGATATCAGGCACATATACATAGTCTTTGCAGCTTGAAAGAGATTGTATCTTAAAATCACGCTACTCAGGTGGCGATTTTGATTTTGTGCTTTTCAAGTCTGCAATGATCTCAGCAGTCGCTCCCTTGAGAACTGCTAGAAACCAACTCTATATATTAAATGAAAGCAGTTTGTAATCACAGCTGTAAAGTGATTTAAAACATTGATCTTGAGTTCAGTTTATTAGTTAATGGCTGCTGAGACCTTGCCAAAAATGAAGCATGGGAAAAGAGCAAAACTACTATTTATATGGTATCTGTCTGTGAAAATCCAAGGTTTCTGTACTTAAGTCTCAAATTGTAGTTATTTATAAATCTCCTTAACCATAGAGGCTTCAAAAACAGAGTAAGATCATAGAATACATGGTTTAAATTTTGTTTGATGTGGCTGTGAACATGCAAGGTGTTGAAGAAAGAATATTAAAAAAAAAAATAGTAGTAAGCATTTACCTTGGTTCCCCCATCCACCCACTTCTCCTCCTATTCTCAGCAATTCAGCAGTTCCCTGTTAGTTCAATGAAAATTGATTTGCAGACACGTAGCTATACATAGAAGTATAGCTCTTATGTCTGGATCGTAGCAAAATGATTGCTATAGGTGTGTATGATATATGTATATTACATATTTATATGTAGTCTACCTGTACAGGAAGATATTATGGGCTGCAGTAGGTGAATAGGATAGTCTTTGAAAGCTGTCCTGTGTACACTATCGAATAATGATTAAAACCAAAGTGTCTGTTTTCACACATTCAAGATGGGTGCTCATTCATTACTAAAAGAACTTGTAGATTTCATTCATATTAATTTATTAAATTACTATATTTTTTTTCAGTTTGAAAAATATAACCACATTTTTCATGCTTTAAGATGAAATTGTGTTCTTTGGAGTTTTTTTACTGCCTCCTAGTGATGTCTTTTGCTAGCCATTATGCTGAAAATAGCTTTCACCAACATCTACCGTGACATACAACATTTAGCAGTGCTTGGAAGTAACCACGGTGTCCCAGACACAAATTTAATACTGTCTTGTGTGGTGTAACCCATTGACTATGGCATCAAATTTTTCAGTAACGGTAGAAAAGTGGCGTCACACATGCCCTTTAGTATGAGGAATGCTTTTAATGAAAGAAGCTACTTTAGAGAGGCTGAAAAGGTTATTAATTTTTTTCTCAGAATCCTGAAAGCTGACTTTTCGTATAGCCACAGGATAGGTAGGTAAGTGGAATTTAATGTATCATCTAAGAAGTCACAAACATTTCAGCTGGAGTAGGCCCTATAACCTCTTACAAAGGCACCTGGAAACTGAATGCCCTGTTCCGTAACTGAAAGTACACTTGTCACATAAAATTTTGCTGATCCCGGTTATTCAGCAGCCAGGTATTTGGTCATGACAAAGGGGGTGACTGCATTTCAGTCGTGTCGTGAGTGTACATCAGGGCGTATGACAGCAGGCAAGTGTTTTTCATCTCTAGGTCTGGTGCCCGTGGCCAGAGAGTGCTCCATTTTGTTGTCTGGTGAACAGATTGCAAGGGCATTTGCAAAAGAGAATTAAACAGTGGTGGGGTTTGGACAGCTTTTTTCCACAGGCCAGGCTGCTAAGGGCTGTAGGTCAGAGAGCACGCTGATCATTAAATTCTACTACAATTTCAGTACTACCATGGAGTATCAGCCCCAAGTTCAAAGCTGAGAAGAGAATCCACCATTGTTTCATTCTGCGGGAAGTGTGTATGTGGTGCGTAAGATGTGCATGTGGAGAGAAAGACAGGGCATGAAATCATTCCAGTTTGGAAAAATCTCTTACTTTTGTTTCTGAAACATTGATATTTTGTTCTGTGGAACTGTTGTTCTCGCAGAGAAATAATTAAAGGGTTTTAGAGTTTCATAAGTGCTAAGTTAAAACTAGTCTACTATTCATTTGTATTTCAAGCAGGTGGAGGATGGTGTCATAACAAGAAAGTTCAAAACTCTTTTAGATGGCCTTTATATTCTCTGTCCTGTATAAATGATCTGATTTCTGATGAGGACAGAGCTCCTGTTGCCAG